GCCAGCCACATACACTGAGGCTGGAGGGTTCGAAACAGACCCAGGCCAGCTAAATAATGACATCTCCAACAAAAATAGCCGGGCGGGTGTTGTGACGGGTGCCTGTAGTCCCAGGTGCTTAGGAGGCTGAGGCAAGAAATCGCTTAAGATTTCAGCCGCAAGAGTTTGAGGCTGCTGTGAGCTGTGACACCAAAGCACTCTACCAAGAGTGACATAGTATGACTCTGTCTCAAAAAAAAAAAGAAAAGAAAATGAGCCCTAAAAAATATATGATCTGACCTGAGGGGCCTTTCTCTGTCTAGAGAATTTCTATTCTACATTTCCACTACTGAATACAAATTTTGCTTTTTAAGAGTTATACAAGGAGAGTTCCAGAACTAAAGGTTCTGAACCATACACTTCATCCTCCATAAAAGCCTTACGAAAAAGGAAAAAGCAACCCTCCCATCAATATACCTGAAGGTCCTGTTGGGCATCTCGGGCAGTTTCGCCCTCTGGAAAAGACTTGCTCTGGCCATAGCCAAATATCTGGCTTCCTGGCAGCCTGTGATCCACATCACGGTACTCCATGCTTCTATAATCAGTATCTTGCTGGCCAAGAAAGTCCAGACCACCTTCTTCTTTAAACATACTAGCATCTGAATTCTGTTGTTTACCTCCAGAAAGCTGTGGCTCATCTTGGTCTTGAATTGGACTTTGGTTGTTCTGAAAGTCTGATGGAGACTCACCCTCACCCTCAAAGGCTACAACTTCTGTATCTCCTTCTCTTGTTTCTGAATACTTGAACTCTCCTTTCTGAATCACAAAAGCAGGTCTTTCTCTGGTATCATCATATGTGGAGTCTTCTCTCTTGTTCACATTCATACCAGCATGTTCTCTAACTTGTGTAGAGGGCTGAATGTAATACAAAATATTTGGATCCACAGGGGGCATCTCCCTATCTTTAAATTCCATACAAGGTCCCATTTCTCTACCCCTAAAATCCTGATCAGTTCTGGATTGGTGTCTACCTCTGAAATCTGAATGTGGTATATCCCTGTCCCTAAAGTCTAGATCAGTAGTACCTGAACCTCGGCCTCTAAAGTCTACCTGTGTTCCATCTTTGTCCCTGAAGTCCAAATCTGATAAATCTCTATTCCTAAAATCAGAACGGGCATGATCTCTGGCCCTGAAATCCAAATCTGATAAATCCCTCCCCCTAAAATCTATATGGGATCCATCCCGACCTCTAAAATCTAAATCATAAGTGCCCCGGCCCCTGAAGTCAGATGAAGGAGTATCCCTACCTCTGAAGTCAACAGTGTGAGTATCCCTGTCTCTATAGTTCATGTGAGATGTCTCTCTACCTCTATAATCCATAGAAGTACCATCCCCACCCCTATAGTCCATAGGTGGTCCTTCTCTATCCCGAAAATCCCCAGAATGTATGTCCCTACCCCTGAAGTCCAACTGTGATGAATCCCTACTCTGAAAATCAGAAGATGAAAAATCTCCTCCCCTGAAATCATGTCCAGGTCCCTCCCCTCCTCGATAGTCACCATGTGGTCCATCTCTAGCTCCATAGCTGAAAGAACGCTCCTCTACATTTGCAAAGGGAGGCCCCGAATGTCCCTGGAAATCAAAGGGAAGTGAATCTCTGCCAGGAAAGTTGCCAGAGTGTCTCTCTTGAGCATGACTCTTAAGGGGAGGAGGAGGATAATCCCTGTTCCACCCGGGAGCAAACCTTTCTTCTTGGCTCCCACTGTAGAAACAAAGACAGTGTTATTCATATTGTCCAGAGAGTTTGAAATCTACACACCAGCATATTCTTCTCTAATCACAGCACATTCTTCTGTAAACATTTTTTTTTTTTTGGCAGAGTTCTGTAACAAGGTCCTAGATCTGCAGAAAACAGCAAAGTTTTGCTATTTTAAGACGAAGTGGCGGAGTAAACTTTTATGCTCCCATTTCAGAACACGAGGAAAGTCAACACAAGGTTTTCAACATGACTGCTGCAGAAAAAGCTTTCACCCAGTCCTGCAACAGGGAAAATCCGCAATACCAGATAAGCTAACAATGGCGATACGCTACAAAAATTTCCATTTTCTACAGCCAGGGAACTTAGAATTCCAAGGTCAACACGATGATTCCTATACATCAGAAAAATCAATGCACTGTAAATTTCTTACAGTAAGTTCCAGGAGGTGTCTTTCTCATTGCTACACCCAAGGATAATGTTCCAAAATATTTTATTACAGCTACAGCAAGGACAGCACCCAACCAAAATGGATGCAGGCCCCAAAGGAAGAAACACTGGTTGTAAATCACTATTAGGAGCACATCAGTGTTCCACAGCTGAGCATCAAGCGCTGGCTACATCTAAAGCCCAGTTCTACCATGGCTCCGCCAGAAGCACTCTCACCTGGGTCCTATTATAACTACCCAATGGCATCACAGAAGGCAGCAATGAATTATGCCACAAAGCACATGTCTTACCTAAGCCAAGGAACAATATCCAGGTGCTTAATGCTAAAAGGGACCTAGAAAGTGCATTAGGCCTTCAGCATTATCCCCATGACCAAAATGAAGAAGCTGATATTCAACATTCCAAAGCCTCATGCTAATTTTGCATGGTAATAAAAATGTATTTTAAACAGGCATAGGGCTCAACACCTGTAGCACAGTGGTTATAGCACCAGCCACATACACTGAGGCTGGTGGGTTCCAACCTGGCCTGGGCCAGTTAAAACAACAATGACAACTGCAACAAAAATAGCTGGGCATTATGGCTGGAGCCTGTATTCCCAGGTACTTGGGAGGCTGAGGCAAGAGAATCACTTAAGCCCAAGAGTTTGAGGTTGCTGTGAGCTGTGCCGCCATAGCACTCTACTGAGGGCGACAAAATGAGACTCTGTCTCAAAAAATAAATAAATAAAAAATAAAAAACAGGCATAGTATTACATTCACATTCTCATTCTATAAAACTCAAGAGATAAACAAGAGCTGACCAATCTTTCATAGCACTCAAATTCTTCCCTTTTGCCTAAGTTCCAGGGCATTTATATGTTCTGGCTTTTGTCAGGCACAGATCAAGGAATTTAAATAGGCAATTGGGGGCGGTGCCTGTGGCTCAAAGGAGCAGGGCACCGGCCCCATATGCTGGAGGTGGCAGGTTCAAACCCAGCCCTGGCCAAAAACTGCAAAAAAAAAAAAAAAAAAGACAATAGGCAATTAGGCACCTTGGATCCTGAGTGGGGACACATGAAAAAGGAAAACATAAAATGATCTGAAGGGTCAGCAGACATGGTTGCTCACACCTGTAATCCTAGTACTCTTCAGAGGTCAAAGCAGGACGACTTCTTGAGCTTAGGAGTTCAAGATCAGCCTAAGCAAGAGCAAGATCTCCTTTCTACTAAAAATAGGAAAAAAATTAGCTAGGCATAGCACCTATAATCCCAGCTAACTGGGTGATTGAGGCTGGAGGAATGCTTCAGTGTGAGGTTGCTGTGAGCTAGGCTGTCACAACAGCACTCTAGCCTAGAGCAACCAAGTGAGAAATTCTCTCTAGAAAAAGAAAAAAGGGGCGGCACCTGGGGCTCAGGGAGTAGGGTGCCGGTCCCATATACCAAGGGTGGTGGGTTCAAACCCAGCTCCAGCTAAAACTGCAACAACAACAACAAAAAAAAAAAAGAAAGAAAGAAAGAAAAAAGATTTAAAGGGTCATCTGCCATTTACCAATAAAACAAAAGCATTCAGATATCAATACTAAGCCAGTTTTTTCCACAAAGAACATGCAGCTTCTAAGGTAAGACCCTTCTGAGCTCAGACTATATCACTACAGTAAAATTCAAGGGCTATCTGACTCTGGGTCACTTAGGTCAAGAGAAATAGTTACACAATGTCAAAACTTTTCTTACTGTAATAAGAATTTAACATTAACTTAAACACTAGAAGGAGGTATGTGTAATGGATTTTCAGAACCTGATGATTTCCACTGGCTCCCATTCACATTAGTAATGTAGGCCAGACACGATAGCTCACACCTGTAATCCAAGCACTCTGGGAAGCCAAGGAGTGTGGCCTACTTGAGCTCAGGAGTTTGAAACCAGCCTGAGCAAGAACACTCTACTAAAAATAGAGTGGCACCCATAGCTGAGTGGGTAGGATGCCAGCCACCTACACCCAGGCTGGTGGGTTCGAAACCACCTGGGCTAGCTAAACAACAGTGACAAATGCGAAAAAAAAAATAGCCGGGATTGTGGCGGGTGCCTGTAGTCCCAGCTACTTAGGAGGCTGAGACAAGAGAATTGCTTAAGCCCAAAAATTAGAGATTGCCATGAGCTATGATGCCATAGCATTCAACCAAGGGCAACACAGTGAGACTCTGTCTCAAAAAAAACACTCCACTAAAAATAGAAAAACTAGCTGGGCATTGTGGTGGAAGCCTGTAGTCTCAGTTATTTAGGAGGCTGAGTGCAAGGAGGCAACTGCTCAAACCCAAAGAGTTTGAGATTGCTGTGACTTATATTCCACAGCACGGTACCCAGGGTAACAAAACAAAGTAAAACTCTGTCTCATAAAAAAAAATTTTTTTTTGTTAAGTCTATGTGGTTAATTTTTTCTTCTTTTTGGAGACAGAGTTTTACTTTGTTGCCCTTGGTAGAGTGCTGTCACATCATAACTCACAGCAACCCCAAACTCCTGGGCTCAAGCTACCCTCTTGTCTCAGCCTCCCAAGTAGCTGGGACTACAGGCACCCACCGCAATACTTGGCTATTTTCAGAGATGCAGTTTCACTCTGGCTCAGGCTGGTCTCAAACCTGTGAGCTCAAACAATCCACCTTCCTTGGCCTTCCAGAGTGCTAGGATTATAGGCATGAACTACGGCGCCTGGCCTTATGTGGTTAATCATAAAGGTCTAAGTTTAGATGTTCCCCATAAATAATATGATTTATCACTAAATCTAACATGTAACCTCTAACTACACCATCTCTCATATGTAAAAATCACTTAGTCCTAAAAAGTAAAACATAAAAATCATTCTAGTCCTAACAGCTTGCAGGAAGACTTAAGCCTACCTTAAGCCTCATCAGATTTTCATGGGATGAGGGCTGAAGTATCTCTAAAGATCTACATGTTTTCTGACCAGAACACATCCAACATTGCCTTTAAATACTGCCCTAAGGATTATCTTAAATTAAGATCAAATAGATCTAGAGCAGTGACTTCCAACTGGTGTTACATGAGAGGATCTTAAGTATGCCAAGAAAAATTTTAAAGATCATGAATTGAGACTCGGCACCCACAGCTCACTGCTAAGGGTGCTGGCCACATACATCAGGGCTGGCAGATTCAAACCTGGCCTGGGCCTTCTAAAACAACAATGACAATTACAACAAAAAAATAGCCAGGTGTTATGGTGGGCGCCTGTAGTCCCAGCTACTTTGGAGGCTGAGGCAAGAGAAACGCTTAAGGCCAAGAGTTTGAGGTTGCTGTGAGCTGTGACACCAAGGCACTCTACCAAGGGTAACATAGTGAGACTCTGTCTCAAAACAAAAACAAAAACAAAAAAAGGGCAACGCCTATGGCTCAGTGAGTAGGGTGCTGGCCCCATATGCCGAGGGTGGTGGGTTAGAACCCGGTTGCAGCCAAACCGCAACAAAAAGTAGCCAAGCGTTGTGGCGGGTGCCTATACTCCCAGCTACTCAGGAGGCTGAGGCAAGAGAACAGCCTAAGCCAAGAGCTGGAGGTACCATGAGTTGTGACGCCAAGGCACCCTACTAAGTGTGACAGAGTGAGACTCTGTCTCTAAAAAAAAAAAAAGCTAGACAGTAAATATACTGGGCTTTGTAAGTTATACAGTTTTTGTCGCAATGCTACAATTCATCGTAGTATGAAAGAAATTATAGATGATTTGCAAATGAATGAGTGTGGCTGTGTTCCAATAAAACTTTACTTGCAAAAAACAGGCTATGGGCTGTAGTATGCTGACACTAATCTAGACCACAGTATTTTGAAAGAAGAAAACACACCCAACATCACCACTATTGCTTTATATACCACTAAGCAGAAAGCAAAGATCCTTATCATTTACCATATATGAAACACTAGTTTTACTAAACATCATATGAATCTTCTAAACTCTGTTCTCTACCCGAATTTTTCATTAGAACACCAAGCTTCAGAATAATGAATGAGAACCTATTGAATTTTTTTTTTTTTTGAGACAGGTCTCACTTTATCACCCTCAATATAGTGCTCTGGCGTCACAGCTCACAACAACCTCAAACTCTTGGTCTTAAGCGATTCTCTTGCCTCAGCCTCCCAAGTAGCTGGGACTACAGGCACCTGCCACAACACCCAGCTATTTTTAGAAATGAGGTCTCACTCGCTCATTGAGGCTGTTCTCAAACCCATGTGCTCAGGCAATCCACCACCTCAGCCTCCCAAGGGCTAGGATTATAGGTGTGAGCCACTGCACTGGCCAATCTGCTGAATTTAAACAACAAAATTGTGCAGACTGACATTCCAAACAAAAATTGCTAAATTTGACTGGCAAAAGAAAAAGTAGAAATTTCAATTGGAGCATTAATACCTTTAAATGTACAAATTTAAAGGTCTGATTCCTTTGCCATATACCAAGTAAAACCATAAAAATCACATTTATATAGCCCTTCATTAATTGTAAATGTAAAATACATACTTCATATGTTCATTAAACATAAAATTTTTTTTTGTTTTTTTTTAATATATTTTTTTTGTAGAGACGAGAGTCTCACTTTATTGCCCTCCGTAGACAAAACGTCACAGCTCACAGCAACCTCCAACTCCTGGGCTTAGGTACCTCAGCCTCCTAAGTAGCTGGGACTACAAGCACCCACCACAACGCCCAGATATTTTTTGGTTGCAGTTTGGCTGGGGCCGGGTTTAAACCCGCCACCCTTGATATATGGGGCCGGCACCCTACCCACTGAACCAGAGGCGCCGCCCTATATTTAATTTGTTTAATGAATATATTTTTATATATTCATTAAATTTAATATATGTATTTTTTGTTTGTTTGCTTTTTTGAGACAGAATTTCACTATGTTGCCCTCCGTAGAGTGCTGTAGTGTCATAGCTCACAGAAACCTCCAACTCTTTGGCTTAAGCAATTTTCTTGCCTCAGCCTCCCAAATAACTGGGACTACAGGCATTGAACCACAACACCTGGCTATTTTCTTATTGCAGTTGTCACTGTTGTTTAGCTGGCCCAGGCCAGACTTGAACCCACCAGCCTCGGTGCATGTGGCTGGTACCATAACCACTGTGCAACAGGAGCCAAGCTGCAAAATATATATTTTAATAAATTGTCATCAATGTGTATTACACTGTCTATACAAAAATTAACTCCCAGTTCAGCACCCATAGCATAGTGGTAATGGCACCAGGCACATACACAGAAGCTGGCAGATTCAAAACTGGCCCAGGCCAGCTAAGCAACAGTGACAACTGCAACAAAAAACAGCCAGATGTTGTGGGAGGCTGAGGTAAGAGGATCAATTAAGCCCAAGAGTCTAAAGTTGCTGTAAGCTGTGACGCCATGGCACTCTACTGAGGACAACATAATAACACTCTTGTCTCAAAAAAAAAAAAAAAAA